CCAACACCACCACCACCACCACCACCACCACCACCAAAAAAAGAAAAGTGGGCCTAAGATAATAAAAACCATATTATCAGGGGGTTAAATATTCGAAAGTAAAGTGCCTCAGGTGTTTTGGTGAAGGTTGCACGAAATTTTAAGAACTAAAATGTATTATTACTATTATTCACCCAAACCCAATGTAGAGGTGCATTTCACATGCTGAAGTGTCAGAAAATAAAATGGAATGAATTTAAAGTTGTATTCAATTTTCAAAACATGGACAAAAATCTACGACTGTCTTAATTTAAATTCAAATTTTAAATTTTACCATGCAAAGAACATGGTAACGTACAGGGTTACCACTTAATATGGAATATTATTTTTTGCCCAATAAATTTTCTACAAAATATTTAATTTCTCTCTAACTACTTTAAATCCAAAGCTGAGGTGTCACTCCATGTGTAGCCAGATGTGTTACCTAATTACCACACAACTCTCGAAACAATTGATGCATGCAGTTGCATGTTCTGTGGTCAGAAATGTGAGGGGTGATCTTTTCGGCAATTTCTGCCCTTGTATAAAAACGCATGGGTTTGGTCAATCTTTGGAGCGTGTTTAGAGAAGCAACAAAGGGATCGCTCTGAAACTTGACAGGTACCTTAGTGAAGGAATGGTACGACAGCAAAGCAACGCAGCTTACTATGGGATTCTTGCTCTCAGAGAAAATGGCCAGAAACGGACAGCCACTGCCAGGTAATTCAACATTTATCAGGAACCGTTTGTGAAGTCCTCCAAAGAAATGCTGCTACAGGGGCACCTACTCCAATACCTCGACCAGGGTGTCCGCGTATCACGCCAAGAAGACAGGATCGCCTTCTCCTTAGTGGAGGCCGTGCTGGTCGTACAAAGACAACCAGTGTCCTCAGAAAAGAGAGGCAGAATGTCATTCAAACGCCCGTTTCAAGGTCCCACGTGAACAAGAGATTTCCGCAAGTCGGTTATTTTGCACGAAGGCCAGTAAGGAAACCACTGTTAACAGCAGGTCATATACAGCGACGTCTGCAAAGGGCTGGGGACCACGTGCATTTGCAGCCAAAACACTGGAATCACGTTGTTTTCAGTGATAAGGCCAGATATGGATTTTTTAGGGTTGATCGTCGAATCCGTGGCCACCGACGTGTACGAGGGGCATAAAACAATGATTGTGTACTGCCTAGGGTGCAAGCAGGGGATGGTAACGTCTCTGTTTGGGGAGTATTATGTCGGTGCCCAGAACCAGTCGGTTTTTCTAGGAGGCAACCTCATCCAGGATTCCTACAGAGACATTCTACAGCAAACAATGCTTCGATTGGTAAGATTCATCTTCAGGAACAACTTTGTGTACCAAGACGACTGCGCAACCCCACATCGAGGCCGCAGAATCACTGTTTTTCTTCAAAACCAATGGGTTCAGCAACTGCCCTGGTCTGCAAACTCTCCAGATATGAACCCAATTGAAAATCTGTGGGCGGAAGTAACTCACAGAATAAATAGCTATGGTCCTCGGCCGGTAAATAGTGATGAACTGCGACAGGCAAATATCACTGCGTGGATTGATATCCCCACCCAAACTCTAAAAAACGTGTCACGGGATATGCCATGTAGGATGAGGGCGCTGCAAGCGGCTGCTGGAGGTCATACCCGCAATTACTGACTTCTCATGATTTACTGTAGTGAGTTCTTTGACTGTGTAACATATCACTGTCCGGAGGCTATCATTTTCTTTAATATCTTATCTTAAATTTTATACTGACATCAAACTGTTGATATGGTTTTCTGAGGGTGTTCCTTTCTTTTGAATGGCATCTTATGTCAGATTT